GATAATATAATTAATAATAAATTATATATAATTATTATTATTAACAAAATATTTTTTAATATATATTAGCGAATATATTTATATTTAACGAAATATTAACAAAGTATTTTTAATTTTTTTAATAAGTTTTAATATATATTAACGAATTATAAGTTTTAGACTATTTTATTAATATATAGTTAAGGAAATAGAACGAAATATATTTTTTTTTATGTTTGGATTTTTTTTTTAATTTTTCTATTTTTTTATTTTTAGTATTATTATAATTATTTTTATTTTTTTTGCTGATGAGTCTTTATATTTATTTATTTTTGGATTTTTTATTTTATTTTTATTATCTATGTGTAGTTGTGTATTTGGAGATAATGATGTCACATCACGCCACATATATAACATGTAAGAAAATAAAGAAAGTTATAATGTCACGTCACTACCTCATTCGGCCATGCCATCTTTTTTATTCAGGTGGGGTGATTAATATATCTTTTACGACCAAATCGCCAACTACATGTTTCTTTTCCGTGAGGAACAACAAAATATCTATTTTGTTGACAACGTTCAACTTGGTGTATCATTTTTAAAATTTTGCCAGCATTCACCATTATCATGTATTCATCTAACAACTTAATTTAAATAGGTTATTCATAATAAATATTTTTTTTAACATGTTTTATTGGATCTATGCGTAATGTTAGAATAAACTTATACGTATGGTTATGTTAGCATAAACTAATATTGTTGCCTTAAAAAACATAGTAATGACATATGTAGAGTTCATGATATTAAATATATTTAAGGTATCAAATGATTGGAATATGGTTGATGTTATATATTTTTAAATATATAGTAAAAGAATATTAATATATTTCCAAACATAACGAATTGAGTAAGTTAACTTATAATTATTACTAGTACGAACCCGTGCGATGCACGGAACATAGATATTAAATGAGTTATTTTAACAGCCTTGTCCGTTTAAATCTTTAAAGTAATAGTGTTATTATCTATTTTCTACCTCTTTTGATCAAAGTTAAGTCTAAAAAATAATAAGGTTATAAGTTTTTTTTCATATCTTTTAACCAGAATTGTTTTTTAGCCAGAACTTAAATATGAGTATGTTAGAGCTAGCTTGTAAAATAATTAATATATTATCTCACTAAAATATTTATACTAATAAAACTTTAGTTTCAGTATATAAATATACCCCTTGATATAAAAAAAAAAGTAACAGTTTTATTTATTCTTGTTCATCATATAATATTTAATTATTATTTTATTATATAATAAAAAAAATAGTGTTAAATAGTTTTTTTTAACACAAAGATAATATTAAAAAAATATAAATATCCATACAAATATACGAACCAAGTTTTTTTAATAGTTTTTTATAAGTTTTATAAAAATATATTATAATTTGTTAGTGTATTATTCAAGATCGTAATATTGATTTGTAGTTTTTAGAGACAGAATATTTATTGTTTTTGCTCATCCCATTTTATGGGATTTTTTTATGTCAAGATAAGAAGGATTAAAAACAATATGTAAAATAGGAAACTTGATTAAAATTATAAATGCATTAATTACTACATGATAAAATTAGAAATTCATTAATTAAAGTTGACTTTTCTACCTACTATGTTTAGTAAATAGGTTTCCTTTTAATATAAGTATAGATTTTCTATTCTTAAAATTTACCAAAAATAATTGAATACGAATTTAGTTATGTTAATGTATTTCCCATAATTATTTGGCATTCTTAACAAAAATAATTAACCTTACAATTACCCAACCAAATGTAGAAATATTGCCAATTATAGTCATTGCATATCATCTATATTTAGCAATAAATTCCATCAACTCCCTCTTTATATATATATAGATTTAACTGATAGACCATAAAAAATCAAGTGGGCAATAGCATACATAATAAAATCTTGCACCACATGTACAGATGCAAATGCCAGATTTTAATTTGAATCTCCAGTGACGCGTTGGGGCATCAGCAACCCTACATGAAATTGGTCGATTAAAATTCACGACGACATTTCCCAAAATTGATTGCTAAAATTCGTTACATCAATTATGGTGATGATGTGTCCAAATGGTACCCATTGTCCATGTGAACTCAATTTTAAAATGCCAATAAAAAAAAAATAAAAATAAAAATTGATGTAATGTAATACTCCATATAATGTCATATAATGTCATAATTTTATAATATTAAAAAAAAATGGATTGCTACTAAAAGAAAGAGTAGAAATGCTCCCCTGCCTACAGTGGGCACATGTTATATGTTTAAAAAAATATATCACCAATGAGTACATGTCGCCTACGCGGTGGATATATTAATATGTGCCCACCGTGGATAGGTGAGCATTTCTCTCGAGCCCTTTGATTTAATTGTTCAAAATTATGTTACTAGCAATGCTTGTACTGGTTTCTGAATAATGAGTCAACATCCTCGAGTACATCTGTGATGAGCTGGACTTTAAAGCTGGGCTTATGTATCAATTTGGGAAGCCCAGATAATACTTGTAATAAAATTCAAAATCCACTATGAAAATCGCGTTAACAAAATCTCTTTGGGAGGCATACTATCAAATTATAATCCTATATATATTTTTTTAATAAATAAACTTTTTAAGAACTCTATATATTATATAGTGCTCAGTGTAATATGTTCAATGTGGTGTATTGGCCATTCAAATTTTTTCGGTTGAACAACCTTTTATGGGTAAAACATGATAGGATACTTTCAGCAAGTACAGATCCCGTGGGTGCATAAAATTAAGGTCATTTATCCAGTCTTATAATTATATAAATGAATAAAGAAAAATATACGAGATATATATAATACGTGACTTGTAATATTCCAAAATGTGAACACGGGTAATGCACGGTGATGGTAACGAGATCGCCTTGGCGTATTTGGCGAAATATGATGGGCTTCGGGTCTAGTTGAAATATTATTGCACATATTATTTATTCTTAGCTTATTTCTTTTATTTGTTGCCTTTTATCTATTAGGAAAATAAGTATGGTTGCTTTAATTAATTAGGAAATAATGTCTTGTTTGGAGTTTATTTATTGG